TCTTTATCTCCTGCATCTGCACCAAGGTCAGAGAGCATGGAAAAGAGAGCTAACAGGCCACGCCTGCCTCAAGGGAACAAAAACAAACTAGATGTGTTTCTTATCTATAGCAGGAGGGAGCAAAGAAAACAGGCTTTTTCCATTCGGGAAGGAATTAAGTACAAATATATCTCTCAAATGTTGGCTGGACTGAGGCGGGTTTCAAGTATGTTAGCAAAATGTTCATTTCAAGTCTCACTGGCATAATTTCATGGAAGAATCAGATTTAATCCTTGGCATTTCAGGAAGGCGTGAGAAACTCCCTGTTTTTTAAAAAACTTTTGGACTCTGCCATGGAATCCAAGGGAATAGAAAACAAGCACCACCTTTTGTAGGGCAGGAGAGGTTTGGGGATTTGAAGAAGGAAGCAACAAAGGCAGTCTTCATACAACAGCTCTAATGCGTAGCTGTTTATTCAACCAAATGTAGTTTTGGGGGGATGGCACATGCATTAATCCATAGATTAACCAGTAATGGTATGGGCAGGGGTAGGCTTCAAAAATTTCAGCAATGGGTTCTCTGCCTAGTTGCTGGGTGGGTGTGGCCATAGTGGGCGTGGCCTCCTGCACTGCAGGGGAGATGTTGTTTTTGCCTTCCCCAGAGTCCAGAGGTTTTCCTTGAGACTCTGGGAGGGCAAAAATTGCTTTCCCCAGGCTTTGGAGGCCCTCTGGAGGGCAGAAATGGGCCCATTTCTGGCCTTCTGGAACTTCATGGGGGGGGGCTTCCCCCCCTGAGCTTCTGTGTGGGCCCTGCATTTAGCTCACATCCAAAACGGGGCCGTGCGAAGACTCCTGGGTGGGGTGGAAGGGGCCAGCCAGGGGTGGGATTTGGAGGTTCTCCAAACCAGCCATAACATTAGCTAGAGGTTCTCCCAAACCAGGGCGAACCCGTAGCAGCCCACCCCTGGCTATGGGGTAAACCAGCTTGCAGTTCAGGACATTGTATAAACACAATCAAAGAATTTCCCCAATAACTCTGGCCAGTTTTTCAGCACCTGGTGCCTGCTTAGATGCATTTGAACTATAACTTCCAAACATTTCCAACCAGCAGGAGCAGCCCTCAACCAGGGAGAAAGTTAGGCAGCTGAAACAGCCCCATTTCATCTGGGTGGTATCAAGTTTAAGATTAGACCACTTCAAAAGATCTGGCTTGTTCCACGCCTGTCTTTTTAAACAGCCATTTTTAGATGTAGAAGTCAACAGGTGCACCTTTGGCCAGCTTAGGCATAAGATGGGGGGGGGGAACCACTTGCTAATTGCTGCTCATTAAAGCGATGATTAAAAGTGCAGGATAAAAGGGGAAAAACTGGTATTCCTCAAAGAATTTTAACATTCTTTTTAAAATGACAGTTCATTTAGGACAATTTAAAAAGCTTGGCTTGAAAGCTTCACCTCCTTCCAAGTTGTTCTATTTTTCCTGGCAAAGCCCAATACTCACCTACCTGGGGCTGTTCTTGGCTGCTGTTGTAAACAATTAATGATGATTCAGGCACAGCTTGTGAAATAATCTGATCATAGACTGAACAGAGTTAAGTGCTTGATTTAATGGGACAATTATATGCATCCTTTCTTTTACTGCCCAGTTTTTGCTGGCTTAGGTATTCACAGCTGGGTAAATACTGAAGAAAAAAAAACCAGCAGTCTTGCTGTAATGATGAGGATGTCCAACGGAGGTTAGAAAAACAAATAAAAACCATGTTCTTATAAAATGCTTGATTTATTTATATTATGTTCTTATCCTTCTTCCAGTGTTAACGTAGCACGTTAAGTTTTCTTTACGTAGCCCTTTCTCCAATCCCTAGGAAAGCAAAAGTAGCAGAGATAAGGTGTTGTCTTAAATCAGAATTTGTACTGATAGCAGAGAATATTTGTAGCTCAAGGTTGAACTGTGGGGTCCTTGGTGCTCTCTGAGTTTGGTTGTTTTCTTGCAGACATTTCTTTGGTAAAACTAGGTAACACCATCAGTGCTAAAAGAGCAAACCCCACTCCCTTCTAGCACTGATGATATTGCATAGTTTAGTAATAAAACATCTGCAAGAAAACAAACGTTCAGAGAGCACTAAGGACCTCATACTAGAATTTGTGATTACCATCAGGGGTCAAATGCGACACGGTGAGATGTTTCACATAGTATACTGTAAATAGCAATAGCACTTGGACTTATATAGTGCTTCAGAGTGCTTTACAGCCCTCTCTAAGCAGTTTACAGAGTCAGCATATTGCCCCATATGGGTCCTCATTTTACCAACCTTGGAAGACTGAGTCAACCTTGAGCTGGTGAGAATCAAACTGCTGGCAATCAGCAGTCTGCAGTTCACTGCATTCTAACCAGAGGTGGTATTCAGCCAGTTCTGACAGGTTCTGTAGAACCGGTAGTGGAAATTTTGAGTAGTTCGGAGAACCGGCAAATAGGCTGGCACCTGCCCTGCTGCCTCCCATCCTCCCAGCTGATCTTCTTTTGTTGCCCTGAACAGGAGAACAGAGCTGGAAAGCAAGTTAGTGGGGTGGGGAATGGGGATTTTGCAGTATTTTTCCCCTGCCATGCCCACAAAGCCACACCCACAAAGCCACACCACACCCACCCTAAAAGTTTCCAAAATTTCAAAGATGTTACATGCTGCTCTCCCAACAGTTCCAAAGGGAAGGGCAACCATTATATGTTTCATTTCAAAACAATACAGATGCTAAACGTTCAGTGATGTGGTTGAAAATCTGGTGATGAAAGCTATCATCAACATAAGGTAAAAGTCAGTTTAGTCTAGAGCAACGGTGTCCAACCTTGGTATCTTTAAGACTTGTGGACTTCAACTCCCAGAACTCCCCCTGCAAGTCTTAAAAGTTTCCAAGGTTGGACATTCCTGATCTAGTGGTTAAGACCAGGCTAGAAACCAGGAGACTGTGAGTTGTAGTCCTCTTTTAGGCATGAAGATCAGCTGGGGGATTTGGTGGCAATTACTCTTTCGTGGCCCTACCAACCTCACAGGGTTGTTGTTGTGGGGAAAATAGGAGGGATATTAGGTATGTTCACCACCTTGAGTTATTTCTGGAATATAGTAAATGCAGGATATGAATAAATAAGCTAGATGCAATTTAATGCGAGGGCTTTAGCCTGAAGGTAGTGTTATTTCAGTGTTGTTTCAGTAGTGTTATTTCAGGCTGGTTTAGGAAAAAACAGGCAGCCTTTACCCTGCATCCAGAAGGGTAGCCAAGAGAAAGGCAGAGATATAGTACTAGCCCATAAGTCAAAGAAAGCATTAATCCACCTGAATTTATCCTGCCTTTTGGATATCTTGCGAAATAGTTTACAATAGGGTTAGCTCCGAGATTAACTCAACTTTGTCAAAGGGCAAGCCTAATAAATGTAATGCACCAGCTGCCTTGTGCAAAGACCACTATCTGAAGGGATAGTGAGAGCCACACACTAACCCTTTCTGTCTGGAGCCATACACGCTCCCATGTGTTTTGTGCTTTAAAAGATCCTAAAACAAGCATCTTCTCAGTATTCTCAAATACTATATACTGTATTCTCAAATACAGTACGGTATTCTCGAAGCTATCCACAGTTTGCAACTCCATATTCAAGTTCTACCCATCTATCCCATTTTTCCACAATCCCCATAATAGCAAAACAAATGTAAACAACTAGGAGTACAAACTGTCCGTAGTATTCATTACTGTCTCTTCATAGACAGTATAATTCTCAAACTGGGAACAGTACCGTTTTTTCCCTTTTGTGGAGCTGGGGTGCCCGTGGCCTGTGCATGACACATCCAGCCGGCGGGCCCCCAGTTTGACACCCCTCACCTAAGGTGTCTTGTAAACCCAGCCTCCTTTCTTTCAGAAGCCATAGCAGGACTGTTTTGTAAATCAGGTCTATTACTATTTTGAATTGTAAAAATTAGATCCAGGCCCTATAGTCCAAATACGATTGAACGGTCTATATCTTAGTATGGGGTATGTATCCCTCCTATTGTGGCTTATTCAACAAAACTATGGTTAAATTAATCATGGCCTAGCATGGCCTATAAATTTAACTAATACAATCTTTCGATTTCATTCTCACTGCAGATATTATCCTGGAATAGATAGCTAGTAAGTTGGTGCCATATTATATATGGGCGTAATTGGGGCATATGAGCTATTCTGTTCTTATCCTACATTCATTGTAAAGCTAAGTCCACGTGGTTGTTGTGGCTTTTGCATTTCATAAATGTTTAGTTCCCTAGTTCAGTATATACATACANCCGCTTAGAGAGGGCTGAAAGCCCTATGAAGCGGTATATAAAAATCTGCTATTGCTATCTGCTATTGCTATTCTCCAGGGCGGCGGCGGGAGTCGGTTTAGTGACTTCTGGCAGCGCCTTGTGCTTCCCATCGGCCACTTTCAGAGGAGCCCCTGAGCAGGCGGCCGCTTTGAGCTCGGGACTCGCTCTACCAGAAACGTCGCTGCCTGCCCTTTTCCGAGCGGGGTGAAGGGGTGGAGGAAGTTGCTCCCGGGCTTTTCCAGCTGAATGCTTCTGGGCTCAGGGCCAAAGGTTCTCCTGGCGGCAGCCTTTGCGGCGCTTTTTCTGATTTTGCTCCCGTCCCGCGGCTCCAGAAGAGGGAAGGTGCGAAAGCAAGGAACGTGCGCGCGCGCGCTCCTTTCCCCTCTCGCTGTGTTTGTTGTGTGTATGTGTGTGTTTGTGTGTGTGTGTGTGAGAGAGAGAGACAGGGAGAGCAGGAAGCCAAGAGCGAGAAGATCCTGGTGGCTCCCGGGCGTGCCGGCGAAACATTTTTCCAGGGAGCACGCACCGAACCGGGTCGCAACTTCAAACCACAAAGAAGTCGCGCTCGTGCGCTTTGTTAACGACTCCCCCGCTCCACGATCCCATGTCGCTGCTATCCTAACAGCCCCGCGTGTGACTCCCGAAGGCTGTGGGCTCCGCTGCGCCCGAAATTCTCAATGATGACCCGGCACCGGACATGAAGGTAAGCGTGGGTCGCCTTCTGGGGGAGATTCCTGCTGTCTGCGGGTCTCCACGGCCGGATTTATAGGAAGGTGGGCGCAGGATTCCGGCACAGAAGGAGCTGGGCTTAAACCTGCCGTAAAAGAACGAGAAAGAAATTGCAGCTACCCGGTCGTTCCGACGCTTCAAAAGTTGGTAGAAGAAAATCCCGGATAGGAATTAAAAGGAAAAGGAGCGTTCTCAAAGCAACCTTGGTTGGATCGGATTTTCAGGTCAGATCTCTCATTTAATAACACAAGATGGATTTCAGGAAAACCATTCTTCTCCTGAGTTCTTTTCCTCCCTTCCTTAATGAATGCTGTGGCATTCATTGTTAAAACCACAGAAGTAAAAAGTTTTGACTGCTCTAAAGTGCAATAAAATACCATGTATTTGTGTGCGTGCATGCGTGTGTATGTATGTATATGTTTGTGTGTGTGTGTGTGTGTGTGTGTGCGCGCATGTGTCTCAGTGGCTAAGACACTGAACTTTTGATCAGAAAGGTCTGCAGTTCCAATCCCTAGTACAGGTCTCTTCTTCTGTGAGCAGGAGGTTGGAATAGATAACCTCCAAGGTACCTTNGAAATATTCTGCCTTTTCAATATTTCCTAGGATATTTCATTTTTCTGGGAGAGGGCTGGGTGATAACTTCCTATACACCCTTGGTGGGAAGGTAACAGCGTTCCATCTGCCTTTGATGTTTAGTCATGCCAGCCACATGACCACAGAGACGTCTTCGGACAGCGATGCCTCTTCACCTTTGAAACGAAGATGAGCACCGCCCCCTAGAGTCAGGAATGACTAGCACATACGTGCGAGGGGAACTTTTATCTTTTTATATATCTATGAGCAAAGAAAAGCATTTAATCCACCTGAGTTGAGTTCCACCTAAGGATGATACTTTATGCAGCTGATAAACTGGGCTCTTAGTTAGCAAAGGTGACTTTCAGGGTGGTTACCCCTCCCCCCACCTCTTCTATTGAAAAGGAGCGGCTTCTCAGGCTTGACTTTCTTTCCCCCCCCACCCTTTGTGAAATCTGAACCTTCTTCAGGACCCTCTGTCTCTTTGAGCCACCCCCACCTTTCACTCTCTCAAAGGAGGCCAGCCTTTGAAAGGAAGAGATTAGATTGATTGCACCACTCGCGCTGGAGGATAGCACGTACACCCATTCTCTGCAAGCTACAGGCAGCCCAATGCGATCCTAGTCTCTTTTAAAGGTAAGCTTGGGTTCTTGCTTGACTCATTATTTGGCCTTTCTTGTGGCTGTTGTACTAAGCAAGGGAAAAGAAGTTGTCTCCAACAGTATCCCTCCCCAATTGTTCTGGCCTGGGAAAACTCAGGAACCTGTCCCTCTTCAAATCTGAATAATAGGGTTAAAATGGCTAGGGTTGTCCCTAAATCAGGGATAGGTTTGGGGTTTCATGTTGAGCCTCTAATGTGTTTTCAACAGTTGGTGGAAAAGCAAACAATTTGGTCATCGGAGAAATGGCCCATTCACTCTTGGTCTCCTTATTTTAGGTCCCTTAAGATGGAGTTTCTAAAGCTGATGATATCAATTGCATCTATAACAAGGCTGGACAACCAGCAGCCCTCCAGATGCGAATCCCCAACAGTTTCATCTGCATTGGGGTAGTTCAAAAACCTCTAGAGTTATATGCGTTCATCCCTGTCCATAGCATATTTTGTAGGAATCCTACCCTGGTTTCCATCTGAAAAGCTCCTAGAGCAGCTTCTATAATAATAAACAGTTTCTGAAAATACACAAGGAAGAAAACAAACAAAGAAACAGATGGGGCAGGGAAAGGAAAACAAGGTACTTTAGACAGGAGTTCTGAATGTTTCTTCAGTCCTATTAAGAGCAGCTACGTGTGGTGTCCTTAGAGAGTCCCAGAGGACATCAACATCCCCTACAACTACTGACCTTGTTCTCAAGAGTATAAATGGCCCAATCTTCCCTAGAAAGGAAGGTCTTAGCAGCAAGTAGCAATGGTGGTCCTGGAATTGCGTAGAGTGTTTTGTATTCCCACCTGTTTAATTACTGTCGGGAGCTTCCTTTGGTTTTTGAAGCTCCTTAAAGATCAGCTAAGGAGAAACCTGACCAGGAGGTGCAATCCATGATCCTTCAGACTAGAACTTGTACCTAACAGGGATGCACCAAACAATTTGTTTTATTGAATTGAGAAGACTGCCTAGCTCCCTAACATTTTGGATGGTCTAAAAGATACTACAGATACTACATTTATATTTGTGTTTACAAATGTAAATACTCCATGCAACATTTTCAAAATTCCTTGAAATCCCCTGATTGATTGCGTTCAAAACAGGTTGCTTTTCAATTTTCTAGTAGGCATTTCAAGCTTGAAAGAGGAGCTGTTCTCAGCTCAGAATGTATCTGCAATGGTAGAACAATTTTTCTGAAGATTTTGCCCAATCCTAAAACCTTAGTTAGGTTGATTTTAAACATGGTTATCTACTCCCATCGCAGCAAGGCTGAATTGGAGGGAGTTAATGAATCCCTTGTGTAATTAGAGCGTCAACAAGCTCTTTGTTAAACAAAATTAATTTGATAAACATTACTGCTGGTATCCCCAAACTTTCTGACATTGAACCGATTTAGTGTTTGGAAACCCTTGGGTCTCTCATACATAAATATATGTTCAATCCATCCGGCACTGGGCATTTAGGGTCTCCAGCCCCAGCAATCCGCTGTTGATATTTCCATCAGGTGGTTCAGCCTGAATTTTCTTGCTAAGAACACACTGACACTTCCACTGTATACTTGCTTATCTTTACAGCACTTTTTTTGCCAACAATCTACCAATGTTAATGTGATTGGAGTGCTCCTGATTGACAAAGGGGCCACCCACCTTTGTATCAAAGGCTTTAAGTGCCAGCTCAATATTGCCTGTCTTAATTGACAGCAACAAGCTAAAAGGTTTCATGAAATGTATTTATACAAATACAAATACAATAGCAGAGTACCTTGGAGGTCTTCTAGTCCAACCCCCTGCCTAGGCAGGAAACC